AAAAAAAAAAACAAAAAAAACATGGTCTTTGGCATCCAAGAGACCTGGATGGGGGCGTTGAGCCTGCTGTAAGCTGAGTCACCTTGGGAAAGTGGTGTAACCTCTTGAAGCCTCAGTTTCCTCATCTGTGAAGTAGATATAAAACCTGCTGTCTGAAGTACTACTATGGGAATGACATACATGTGAAATGTATTGCCTACCCAATTCCTACTTAAGGGATAAGAAGTAGGTAGTAAATATCATCATCATCATCATCACATTTTTCAAGGGGAATGATTCACTCTGGGGAGGATTGTTGTTAAAATAGTTCATGGAAGCAAAACGTTAAAATATAAGAAAGGAGTTATGTATAAAAGCAGTGTTCTTTCTCTGTAGCAATTAAAATATAAAAGTAAGAAATTTTTCTCTATTGCTTCCATTATCCTTTGAGCATATAGGTCAACTTGGATTTGAAATGGAATTAGTGAGATGGGGAAACTTGGAGGACTTTGGATCCATTTATGGCTACAATAGCACTTTTTGAAAAGATTTTTTTTTAAATAAATAAAATGGTACACTATAAAGCACCAAATGCCTGAAGAAATTAATTGTAATTAAAGGGGCAATAGACAGTCTGAGAATGATGTGTTCCATTCTGAGAGCAATTTTCCACAACAACACTTTCTCCTGTAGCACAAGAGAAAGCTCACTAGATCTGAGCTGAGCACTCTGAAGATGCTGAACGTGTAATTTAAAGTCCACCCTATACTCACAGACCACAGAATTGTAGTGCTATAGAAAACGCTAGCTACATGTGACCTAGCCCAAACTATTTTAGTAATAAGCAAACTGAGGCCCAGTATAGCTCAGCAAATTGCCCCAAAGCACACAGCTTATTAGAGCTAGAATAGTTCCTTTCTTTTAGCTAGGTTTCAAAAAACTTGTTAAGCAGAGTGAAATTGTTTTACTTCTATGAATATCCTAGGTTTGCAGCTGATTCCTTCCACGATGGTTCTCCTAACAGCCTTATTTGAACATAACTTGGCTGTTCGGCACAGTCTTTGCATGACAAAGTGGTCAAGTCTTAATAGTAGCTGAGAATGCATTATCAAGACTTTATTTAGACTGTACAGTCAAGGCAATCCAACTATTAGTCATCCTGACATGTGTTCCAGAACATAACACACCCATGAGCACTGGCAAAAATTCATCTGCTCTGTGCACCCTGCCTACCACAACTCCTTCCAAACTGCTGATATTTTTACCATAGTTATGGAAAGTAAAATACTTGAAGTTCCTAATCTGGGCATGCATTGAAACCTTCCCTTCCCCATTACAAAATTAAAAGCAACTCGCATAAACTCCACACATTTAGCAAAGTGAAGGTATACTAGGAAAGAAAGCAGTGAATATGTAAGTCGCCCAGAATAGAGAACACCCTTACCATCAAACTGATCAAAACACACATTGATTATACCCAATCACTATCGATTGGCTTAATATAATCTGAAAACAGATGGATCAGTTCTCACTGATCCACACAGTGAAATAAAACTGAGACTGACATCTAGAGTTACCCACTAAAAACATTCTAAAAGACAAAATCTTCCTGTTTGCAAACAAACTCTGCATCCCCTTGCCCTTTTAAAGAGATATAAAATCATCTGGAGATGACACAATCTTTTACTTTCTGCCCTACATTATGGGTTGAAGCAGAGAAGCCTGGGGGTAAGGAAGAGTGGGTTCAAGAAGACCAGGGGAATGGCTCTCTGGCCTGGTGTCTTTCCTCTGTCACCTTCACCCTTCCAGACACAGCTCAGCCAGGTGGGCCGCCAGGTGGGCGGCCAGGTGGAGTCAGGGAAGGCAGGCCCAACTGCATAACTGCATAACTGGAACTGGAACGGGGCTGCTGGAGCTTGGGGGAAGGAAAAGGGACATATTCATGCCTCTGCCATATATTCTCCTGGCATGAGTGACAGGAGGATAAAACCCAGCAAGTGTTTTCTTACTGTGCTGCAAAGCTCCCAAAGACCAATGCTTGTTTTTGTCGTTCTTAAGAGAAGAGTACTCAGTGCAATTTAGGGACAGCAATGTCAGTCTCCTCACTACAGGCTGTGGACAGTTGAGAGGAAGGGACTAAAACAAATGTCCTGCAGGGCTGCACAAGGGAGATTTCCCCGGGGGGAGAGCCAGGGTGATTCATCCAGTTGGAATTTGTTTCATCAGCCCCCCAAAAACAACCAGACTCAAGATGCTGATAAGAATTCTTTTATGTTATTCCAATAAAAAATACATTCATACAGAAATATAACAATCTTGCAAAAAACAATTTCAAATAAAATCTTGTAAAACAAAATTTTACAAAAATCTTACAAAGATTCTTTAGATAACAGGGTGCTTCCAAAAACAAAAAAAAAGAAAGAAAAGAAAAAGAAATTTCACTAATAGAAATTTTTCTTTTTTTTTAAATTTCAAGCAAAAAATTTCTGCTTGATTGAGGCTCAGTTATCACCTGAACAGAATGTACTTCTTTATGTACCTGCTCATTATGAAAATTACAGGCATTGACATGTATGGCCCCAGCCCCGCCCAGCCAAACAACTCCAGTGGTGTTTTTCTTAAGTGAGACAAGCCAGTGCAAGTTTTTTTTTCTTTCTTTTTTTTTTTTTTGGTCTTTTGTTTACCTTCTTGCTTAATGGAATTGTTATGGCTAAGCACACAGCAGGGCCAAAAAAGGAGTTTTCCAAAACCCAGCAAATCAAGTGCTTGGATTTCGAATTGCCAAAAGAAAAGTGCATTTTCCCCCTAAGCAAATTGAAATGAGTTCTTTAGGTAAATGTGTTCATCAGCCCAGATTAAAAAAACCAGTTACGTGAGCTTTAATCATCGCTCATCTCCAGGAAGATCAAACAAAATACCAGCCCAGCCAGACTCACATGTATATGTATATATGTGTGTGTGTATATATATATATATATATATATATAAAGAAAAGATCCACACCCACGAACCCACAGCGGGATGAAATATCAGCTGTCCATGCTGTGGTATGCCAATTTGGGGAAATTACTCCTTGGAAAAACTTGGAGAATCTACATGCTGGAAAAAATAGCTTCATCTGCATAAAAAGTGTTCTAAAAAGAATCCCTGTGATTAGTTTAGGTTAGATCTTCTAATAAGGCTGACATTCAAAATAAAACCTTAGTGTGTCTGAGTCTGACTAGTGCTCCAGTATTCTGTTTCTGCCACTTCTGAATGGCCAAAGGGACCCTATTCCAGAATTGCCAATAGCAACAAGCAAGGTCAGCAGTGTGGAATAGATTCAACGCCAAGAAAGTCTTTAGCAAATCATTAAATTAAAGATAAAGCCTCTATAAAAGTTAGATTATAGGTTTCATTTTACCTCCTTTATGGTCATTTTGAAATATTTCTTCACAGGCTGTGGACTTTTCTAGCAAAACATTCTAGTTTCTCCTTAAAAAAAATATTTATATATTATCTATATATATAATATATATATACACACATACACATACTGTACACACAAATATACATACACAAGAATCCTGCCAACTTTTTAAAAAAAGTAGTATATCTTCTGTATTACCAACAGATAGCTAGACAGGTACATGAAACTTGTGCCTTTTAAGCAAATACACTAACATTGTTTCATACTCTGTATCATTAATGTGTGGGAAATGTTACATATTAAATACAGCCGGTGTGTGGTCTATACACTTGTTGTGCAAGATCTATGTGACAGTTCATGGTGGCAGAATTGGTCAGATCTTTCGATTATCATGTTTTCCATTTTAACACTGATAGTCAAGTTGTCTAAAATATTGAACAAATACTGACAAGTTAAGGGAGTTTTCATCTATTTGTCTTTGTGAAGGAGGACCTAAAAGAGATTTTTTTTTTCTGTATTATACATTGATACAGTACAATGCCAGGTGAAAAAAGAGCCTTAATAAAGCATGCATCACCCATACCCCTGTGTGAGACCCCCACAAAAGGGGTCACTTGCATAAGGCACCATTATGAAGGTCAACAGTGCATTAACAGCTAGAAAACCAGAAATTAGTCCTCAAGGCATAAATAAGAGAAACATAGCTGCATGAGAAAACAGTTCTAAGCTTTAGTGGTTTTATCCACCCAACTGAGAAAAATTTTAGTTCTCAGTCTACTGTAACATCAGACCAGCAATTCCCAGCCCCAACTTTTTGACTCAGTGTATGTCCAATTTTTTCAAAGGGCATCACGAAAACCTCCAAAAACTTAATTTAAATTCAGATCATTTGAAAAATAATTCTATGCTGCACGACATCTTTCTGGAAGGGAGTGGTACGAAACCGAAGGGGGGAAATATTGTGTATTGCCAGGCCCAGGTGGCTAGGGATTACTGTATTAGACAAATTGTATCTTAGCTGCTCATTAACTGGAATCAAGATTGCAGTCCTGATTTAAAAATGGAAAAGCATATAGTTTCCCAGACCATGCATGACTTTTTGTATTATAAGGAAAAGTATCATTGTGTTATATTTGTAAATACACAGCTTATACAATGGGTTACAAATGAGCTCTGTTGTAGCAAGTAAAACAAGCTACTTGACACATTGCACGTTTAATAGCTGCACCAGACACCAAAAGTTCCTCTCACACAGGAAAGGGCTAAAGAGGCTCCCCTTCCCCATACCACTCACCGCTCTGGGGTCCTGAGTTCCCACTCCCACCCTCCAGGTTTTTCCTTTTTTTTTTTTTTTTTTTTTTTTTTTTTTTTTTTTTTTTTTTTTTTTTTTTTTTT